TTTCTGCTGTTAACACTGCCGACTACCAGTCTCCCCTAAAGCTGATCAGATTTTGACCCCGGTTCCCCTCCCTTCCCCCTCCCCTGACCATACTATTTTTTCTACCAACCCGCATGGTTTATTTACTTTATAACCATTTAAATGTAAAGGCCTGATGAGTACTATAACATTCCCAAGTTTGGCTTGAGGGATGCTTGTCAGTTTCTGACCCCTGCCACACATTCAAAGCCATTCTGCTTCAATGTGACGCACGTCACTGCTACCCACTGTCTCACTGTCTCAATCACCCTTTCTTTTCCTTTGGTAGTCTGTGAACCTGGTTTCTATGGCGACAACTGCACCCAAACCTGTAAATGTCGTCATCCAAACGCGAGGTGCGATCCTGTTACTGGTCGCTGCAAATGTCCCCCAGGCTGGATGGGAGAATACTGCGAGAAGCCGTGTCCTCAGGGCTTTTATGGACAGGACTGTCGCGAGAAGTGAGTTGTTCTCTGTCTTTCCTTTGCAATCCAAAGGCACAACACCACTGAGTTGACAGTGGTATACCAGTGCTTCCGAAGCAGTATTTTCTTTACGACGTGGGCCTGTTACCATTTAAAATCATCACTGAAGTGTTTCGGGCTGAAATACAGTACATTATTTCGCTTTATTTGGTGTATTGTGGTTTTGCTAGCTACTTCGACGCGTACATTCATCCCTGAGTATGGCAACCGCTTGTGGACTCACTGAAGTGCGGAAGATGCGGCCAGATACTTCCTTGCTGATTGGAGATTCCGCCGACAAGGTTGCGCAGACAGAAGTATCCACAAAGATCCTCGATGGTCCGCTGGGCGGCGAACCACGGTAGAACATTTAGGGGCTGCGTAGATTACGGCCGCAAAGTTCGGCAGATGCGATCGCTGACGGGATCATCGCGGTTAGTCAAGTAGGGAAGACCACGAAGACCTTCGCATGAGAATGATAATGAGAGACCGTAAGCGATGGGTTGTGCATCATTGAATATTTATAATTTTTATAGGCGTCTGGAGGACGTCGGTCGGGTACCACTGTAGCCGCACTACTCCAAATAAAATAGCCCGTAGGACAAATGCAACAAGTGGCGTAATAAATTTTTTCCGGTCGTCATGGGCCATCGGTCTGATGATATTTTAGGTCGCCCCCACTATAATAAGTTATGTCATAAAATAACTATTACTAGGATATAGAAAATAGTATATTAAGTGTAATTTATGGGCGTCCGGATGGCAGTGGTCAGGCGGTACTATATCGCCCTGGCTTCCGCGTAAAAACCTCTAAAAAGTCCGATATAGCAATCTTCAAAGGCACAGCCTTCCAAGCCTCGACCACTATGTTGGAGGGAAAGAACTTTTTAGTGTCCAGCCTGGCCCTGGTCGCAAGCAAGTTGAGAGAATGACTTCTCGTTACTATTGCTAACTCAAAGAAATATCCTGACACGATAAAACAGTCTTGGGCATGTAAAATGCGGAATGTTAGTATCAGGTTCCCCTGAAGCTGTCTGTGGCTCCAGGGAAAAATATTGAGATTGTACAGCCGCCTTTTATGGGGGTAGTGAGCCCTGCGCGATGAAAATTTGGGTTGCACGCCTTGGAACCTTTTCGAGGATGTTGAGGTCTTTTGCGGTCCAGGGTCTCCAAACTTGGATAGCGGACTCTAATTGCGCCCGCGCAAAGGTTCCGAAGACTGTGGCGAAACAGTAGTCATCAAAGGCAGAAAAAACTCCTTCGACGAGGTACAGAACCGACACTACAGAGTTGATCACCTTTGCGCAATGCAGGGCGGGTTTAGGCGAGGGCGTGATTCAAACTCCCATGTCCTTCTGAGCGTCTACTTCGTGCAATGATAGGCCATTCAGTCGGTAAACCGTGCGGTTAGAAGAACTGGTTTCGCCGGTTCTTATAATATTGCACTTGCCCCCATTGAAAGGCTAGAGCCAGTCCTTTACCCATTTTTGGAGCCGGTTAAGGTTTGGCTATAAATTCTCTTCGTCAGCTGCAGTTCGAATGACGAGTCAAAGTTTGCTATTACAGTAGTCGCCGGTTATTAAGTCCACCTAGGGCCCAGACCAAATTGGGCTTAATAAGCGGCGGGCGCA